GATATACCATGATAATATTATGATCTATTGATATTTTATATAATGATATGTAACTTGAACATATTAAAAATAACTATGTTGAGTCTAGGACTTGAACATCTGTTCACTTTTTGAACTTGTGGCTGAATGCCAAGCCGTCCCCCGTCACAAATTCTGAGGTGTACACTTAAGACGTCCAGAACCATAGCAGAAATCTCCCATATGCACATCAGTTTTTGCGAGGTGTTTACCAATACACTTGCCGGAGTGAAAACCTCTGCACATCGGTGTCCTGTTAGTGGCTAACTGTCGAGACCCTTGGGAAAGCTAACTAAATGACTCTCTTCCCATATGCTATGACCTATGCAAGCACTCGTAGATATCAGCTGTCCTCTGGCTAAGTTCTATCTTTCTTGATTGCGAACTTAGGGGGTCTACGACGCTCCCCCGGAGAGCTGTGTCGGTGGCGGGACCCATAGGCGCTACCCATAGTCCCTGACCCCCGGCACACCACTCACCGTGATAAGTGTCATGCTATTAGAGTCTTCAAACAACCCACAAAGAGCCTACGGTAAAGGGGCACGTGTAGGCTTGATTGGCGTAAAACCTTCCCAGATGTCTCCGGCACTACCTGGGACTACTCTGGGGACCCTTCCGGATAGCTCACGCTAACTCCGTCAGTTTTGGTCAGTTTTACTCCGTTCCTTTTGGAGAAGGTACCTGACCTTCTCACCTTAGCCTCCTTATATATCCTGCGAACAGCTTCCGGTCAGACGGACGGCGACGACGCATACAGTGTTATGGACATGTCTTCATGGATTCCATTTAACTAGCATAATGGCAACTCCACCCATTTTGACCCATGACGCCCGGGGCGAACCCTGGGGCCGCAGGTACCTGTTGGGAATAATTCTACCAAGTTATGGCTTGTTCGGAGCACTATAGCTCCTCCCGTAGTCTTCCGATCAAAGTGCAATCAAGTGCCCGTCAATCATCATTGCGTAACAAACAATCCTAACATTTCCCGAAATTCCTCCGAGAACATTTCCGACGGAAGGTAGGGTAATAGTGTCCCAAAGGTAGGGCAAGTATGTCCATGGTGACACGAAACCAGTCTCCATGGTAGGGTAACGTGACTTCCTTGGGTAGGGTAAACTCACCCGGCCTTCTGACCTATCCATAGGCCAGAGCGGATATTGTCACGTTATTACCACTACTTAGGTACACCTATTCCTTAAGTACCTTCTGTTCTTAGAGATTTCCGCACCATCAGATATCTCTCGGATATGCGCCTGCATATCCGCCTCGTCTACCATCTGACTTCTTGGTCTTACGTATGGGCATAGACGTAGGTTACCATAGCTCTATATCGTAGGGTCATTACAGTTTGCCCCTAGTGTCATGGACCTAAAAGGGTGAAGTTGTCATCCTTCTAGTTAAGTAGAGTCTGTGAAAATATATCTATAACACTGTATAAGTTACTGCCACCTGTCCAATCAGAAGCTGGTTGCAGGATACATAAAGGAGCTAAGGAGAGAAGGTCACGTACCTTATCCAAAAACAACAGAGTAAAATGGACCAAAATGAATAGAGTTAGCGTGAGCTATCTGAATAGGACCCAGGATAGTTCTGAGTAGTGCCAGGATGTCCAGGAAGGTTTTATACTAATTAAGACCACATATGCCCCTTTGCTATAGGCTCATTGAGGATTGTTTGAGGACTCTAAAAGCATGATTCCTATTATGGTGAGTGGTGTGTGGTGGGAGTAAAGGACTATGGGTAGCACCCACAGGTCCTGCCACTGCCAGAGCTTTTTAAGAATATCGTAGGCCTTTTAAGTTAGTAATTAAGATAGATATAATTTAACTAAAAGATAGCTGATATCTACATGTATTTTTTATAGATCATCGCACATGGGAAGAGAGTCATTTTGTTAGCTTTCCTGGATGACTTGACAGTTACTAGACACTGGCAAGACAATGATGTACAGAGGTTTTGTCTCCAGCAGATGTATTAGTAAATAGCTAATATAAACTGATGTACACATAGGAGACTACTGCTAGAGTGCACTGATACCTTAACGTATTTGGGGGTGTTATGGGTCACCACCTAGTTAT